GATAAAAATTCAATAAAATAAATTTTGCAACAGTGCCTAAGTCGAAGGCAACTTTTACATCCCGCCCAGTTGCCATGGTTTGCGTGTGCGTACACCAGGTGGCGCTACTGTATACTCAATCGTATGCAACCAGAAACCAGACATGTGCGAAACTATAATGCGCTACTGAATACGATCAATGAATAGTAGAATATATATGCAGTCATAAATATGATTGTACAATAAAACTAATGAGTAACGATAATGATACTGATGATATTGATAATCTTTGTAAATATTAATTAATTAATTTATGATCATATTGATGAACTTCGTAAACATAAATGAGATATAATGATGAATACTCCTAAAAATACAATAATAACAATAATGATCACTAATGATGTTTAATAAAAATGACTAATCTCCAACAAATGAATCTTTTATAAATTATATAAATTATAAATAATAAACATGATAATATAAATTAAATCATGTTTGTGGACAATGATGATGATGCTGAAGTTTTTATATAATATAGAAGTTGAAAGATGAAAAGAGGAATACTTAAGATTAATGAATAAATTAATGAATACATGGTGACGATCATCATCAATAGAGATTAATTAATAATTATAATAATTAATAATTAATTATATTAATTCCCATAATAGATATAAATAAAGAATTATGTGGACATTAATCATGATTATGGGATGATTGAAAATAAAAGAGACATGGTTTTTCATTGCAGGGTGTTTAAATGAAGTAAGCAAAATCATAAGAATGATAGCAATAGTAATATTTATGAAAAATTATAGGAATAATGAAATAGTAGTCCATAGTATACCTTTTCTTTTGCAGGGTATTCAAATAATAAGCCGCATATGCGCTATTGCTCAGCTGCATTCTGGGTCTCGTCTGCGTTTTAAGTAATATGAAAAAGTTGCTATGCATTTTTCATGGACTGCAAAACTCGATTGCAACACTTACACAACGAAGACACACGCACACACGTACACTTGCGTACAGTACACGTATGTATTGTATGAGTCTGTGCGTACGCATACGTATTTATGGGATATGAGGTATATGAAAAACATTTGTGCCTACAAGTAGGCAATAGATTTACAAGTAGAACCAACTGCGTGTTTGTGCACATGTTGATTTTCACTCAGTGCGTTAACGCTGGCTGCCTTTTGGCCTCCTCCACATATGCTCATATTTCGAATACCCTTTAATTGAGCTTGATTAGTTGCTAATTCAATTTGTGAAGCTGGAAGTTGAATCGATGTCCTGATAAAAATATTTATAAACTCTGAATAGGGGTTTCTAGTATCCATTGTAGTTTTTCTTAACTTTTAAATTGAAAATTTCCTCGCATGAACCAATGTCCCGTATTTGAAATGAGTTAAATTATATTCAAATATTTTACTTAAATTTCTTTGAAGTATGTATTCAGCATCTTTTTCTTTTCCTTTCACTTTAGAGCTATTGACAAATTTTCCTTGCCTCAAATAGTGCATACTCAATTCGGTGCATCAGCGCTTGCTTATCTTTTGGTTTTCGATATGAAAACATGTCCTCAGGTTGTATGTGCACCACGTTGCGTATGAGTGCTGCTCAATGTTTGTGTGTGTAAATGTGCATATGAAGTAAGGTAAACATTGTTCATGATGGCAACGGCAACGACGACGAACAGGCACAAGTTGTGGCCCGGTGGGGTTGGGTAGATGGGGTACATAGGGTGGGGCCGAGTACAGGGAGACAGCGACTCAGCTGGCGTGAACTGTGACATAGCTGAAAGCTTCAAGCTGCGTAGCATCCATAATGCTAATGATATTTACTTTAAAGAATGACAAGCAGCAACAGTAGCAGCAGATGCTGTGAATTTAGATGATGGAAAACTCTTCAGAAATACATTAAGCTAAGTAGCGCGACTTGTTGGTCACTTGATATGGCTGTGTGACTTTGAGCGGACTTTGAGATTGATTTACCAAACTAATTGAGCAATATCGATTTAATTTCTCACGAATTTCTCTTGTCAGTTATATTTTGAAAGTAACTTTGTGAAGGCTTAAGTGAAATTTTCCACTGCAAATTCGACTGGCTGAGCCATGTTATTTATTTTGTCGGAGTTTCTGATGTTAATATAAGTAATTTTGAGAGATATTTAAGGGGACATATATTAAACAGGCAGAAGGAGGCATGGCAGACCCCATAAAGTATATACATATATTCTTGAGCTGAGTCGATTTAGCCCTGTCCGTCTGTCCGTATGTCTGAACTCGTCGATCTCAGAAGATATAAGAGCTAGAGACTCTTTTTCCTACGTCCCTGTATACCACGCGCATATGGAGTTTTGCTTTAAATATCGATACCTTTTCCTGTTATTTTGTTATCGATTAAAAACATTATCGAAAATCTGTTTTAAATATATATCTTCTTCATCTTTAAAGCTATATATATAAATATATTTTTTTTTTCTTTAAAGGTAAAATAAGTTGTACATAAATATATAAAAATATGCTATAATTAATAACTTCAATTTAATATTTTATTTAACTGATTGATTTTTCTGAAGCGATAACGTTAATGCTGAGAATTTTAATTATAACGATCGATTTCGATTTGCGGTAGCTCCTATTAAGGTAAAATTGTAAGGTACAATTTGCAATTTTCAGGTCTCTCTCTTCTGTAAGGTGATATATGTATATATTGACAAATCAAACAACAAATATAAAATACGTTTTCCGCCCTTTACCAATATTTTTACATATTTATTGAATAAACTTTGATTTTAATGCATTGAAACAAAATAATGCTAATTGTATAGATTTCACCACAATTTAATTATTAAAATGCCCGCTAAAAATTACACTTAAATTTCTATTGCAATTTAAATAAGCAACTCAAAAACAGACTTTGCCTAAATAACAAATTAAAATTAAATGTGTGCGTCGAGCACTCGGAATTTATATAACAGTAATTGACAGCCCATTTGATTTGAATCATTTGTAAATTGTGTTGAAAAAATGTTCATGCTACAAGCAACACGCATACACACACACACACACACACAGACGGAAGCCATGAAATATGCAACACATTTGTGGAATCAACATGTCCATATACATAATATAAACCAATGCATACGTTAAAGTTGATTATCATAAGCCAAATATTAAATGCAACTGTTAGCAATAATTGTGGCAGTATAATTTCTTTATCCTGGATTTAATAAAATAGGCGTCAATTAATAATAGGCAAAGCACGGCACAGGTATTTGTAGCTCATGCTGCAATGTTTTTTTAGCTTAATTTAATTTTTTTCTTTTAAGTACGAAAAATTGTATACTATATTTATATAATTAAAATATTTAAATAATTACAAATATTTATCAAACACTTTTTAATATAATTTTTAAATTTTTACTTTTTTTTTTTTTATTGAAATCATGAATAACATAAATAGAAATATTAATGGTGTTAAACACATTATATTATATTATATATCATATTTATATTTAATCCTTGATGATGGAGTCAGCAGATGTGGATATTTCAAGCATTCGATTCCATCTCGCTCGCTCCCAAATTTAAACCTAGTCAAGTTTCGCTTTGCGAATACAAATACATATAGATGTCATTATTGAACACTTAAAATGTCATTCAGAAAATGGAACAAAAGTTATTCAATATATTTGCTAAAAGCATAGCCCAAAGTATTTGTTGTTATTGTTGGCGTTGTATATATAAGAGAAATGAAATGATTGGACTAAGTGTATGCTTAAATAGGGCACTACCGACTAGAGCAAGTCTTACTATAAATAATGTTAAGTTTTTGGTTCTCCTTTACAGAAACTCACACTTTTTGGCAATGCTTTGATCCATTTGCAGTTGAATTCTAATCAAATTTTGAAGATAAGAACAACATTTTTGAAACACTAAATAGTTCCTTCCTAGATACCTTTATATATTGTCGAAAAAAAAAAACAAAAATAGTAATACCACGCCACCAAACGTGTTTTCATGCGATTACAGTGGTGCTCAACATGAGCTCGACGCTTGTAATTAAATCCTGATTAAGTTCAAGGGTTCTGTGAGAGCTCAACTCAACTAGCAAGCGAATGGATTTGCTCATTGTTTTTTGGAGTTGACGCAAAGGCGTCTAGCATTGATAAGGGGGGCGTGACAATTATTGGCGATAAGCCGTCAACACTTGACTCGATAACAGAAGCGGCGCGACGCCCAACAGGGGGGCGATAAAATTTTGTTGCCTAGTGTAATGCTTAACGATTGTGTTCATTGACTGGCTAACGATTTTGTTGAATAGGCTAATGCGACAGACTCATCGAACTGCTGAACTGCTGATGTGATGTGCCTGTGCGTGTGCTTGTGAGTGTGCGTGCGCGTGTATGTGGGTGTGGGTGTGTATGAGTGAATGCATGAGTGTGAGTGTATGTCATGCTTAGCGAGCAATATTCTTGGTAGCACTAATCGCACTTCGAATCGTCATGAATCAAACAACACTTCGGCCTCCTGTGCGTGATTTGTTCAACAATTGTTTTACGGCTGCTCAACAATTGCCCAAAAATGTTAAAGCCAGCCATTGGGCGGGCCTATATAGCTAATCATTGCATGGTTTTTAAAGGTGTAGATGTTTCTGATTGAGTCATTGTAAGCCAATATTAATAGTACTTCTCTTCAAGAATTATCCGTTCCATATAAAAATCATTTTTAAGTTTAGTCAATTGAAATAATTATTTACATATGTACATATGTTTGTATTTTAGGTCTGTCATAATTTTACAATTATTAATTTTTTATTATTTATTTGCTTAGATATATTTTTAATTATTGAATTATTATTATTATTATATATTATATATTTTTTTATCACATCATTGTTTTGTATATAAATACACGCCTATGCCTAGTCAACGCTTTAGTAATGTGGCGTGAGCAACTGAGTATAAATAAATTTACGGAATCTGCAGGAATATGCAAGATATGCCAAAAATGGCTGCTTTAAAGCTGGGGCACAGTTTTCCACTTAAATATACAGCCTGGTCGTACAGTCAACAACCGATGCTGAATCATTTGGCACTGCAGCAACAAATCAATGCAAATTTCATCTTACACGCGATTACCAACTATAAGAAATCACCGCTCGAGCGCAAGACTCTGGACTTTATTGACAAAAAGTGGCTGTGGCGCGAGTTCCGGTATCGAGACGGGCAAATACGACGTGACTACATGAATGCCAACTGCAATGGGCATATCAACAAACAGCACGAGTACTTTCAGCAGGAGCTGTACGCGCTCATTCATGAGAAATATATGGCGGTTCGCAGACGCATGAGTCGCGACAAAAGGAATCTGCTCAAGTGCGCAGCTTCCCAGCCAGCTGGGCAGCATGTTTACCAGGCAGGCCAAACAGCAGCGGATGTGGCGAAACAACAAAAAGCGAACAGCAAGAGAAAATAGAATAGCGATACGACTAGTAGATATCCTCTACTTTGCTGTAAGGTAGTTCTCCAAGAAGCTTAGGAAGTTGATTTTACAATTATACTAAACTAGAAATAATTATATTAAATATTACAACTGTATTAAACATACATAATTCATAGTATGTATACTGTTGAGCTATCGAGATTTTTCGAATAGCTTTAAATTATTAAACGATTGAATTTACTTAGTGATTAGTTTATTAGCGATTATTTGAGTTTACAGAGTTTATGTGATAGACGCGAGCAAGCGACTAGGCTGTCGTGCTGTCCGCTACTATGTTTGTAATAGTCAATCTAACACAGCATCTGCTCTAAACAAGAGTTAATTGCATACTAATTACAATGTACGCGAGCCGGCGGATTAAGCTGAGCCGGTGCGTGGGTGAAAGAGACAACGCAAAAGGGAGAGCGTGATCTCCGTTACAAATTCTCTTACATGATAACATATTCTATGAACTGCCGCTCTTAATTACAATGAAGCGATGATTGCTGAGCCCAACATCCTCCCCCGTTGAAGACTTAGTCTTCAACAGAATCCTTAAGGGGGCAGCAAGCAGAGCTTATTTGTAGCTCTTCTTATCTCGCCAGCTTCTGTTTTTAGTAGGGCTACCCGTGCAACGCCATCACTTCCAGGGATAAGTTCGATTATTCTGGCTAGTGGCCACTTAAGTGAAGGTAGATTCTCATCCTTCACAAGAACTATGTTGCCAACAGCCAAGCCAGGTTTGGAAGTTCTCCATTTCGCTCGCTGTTGTAACAAGTTGAGATATTCGTCCCGCCAACGAGTCCAGAACACCTGCTGGAGATAGCTTACGCGCTGCCAAGCATCCAAACGATTAAAATTGAGCCCTGTCAGGTTTGGCTCACTGAAGGACGAAGGAGGGCCACCGTTGATAAAATGCGCAGGAGTCAACACGTCTATGTCTGATGGGTGCTCTGAAATCGAAACTAAAGGGCGTGAATTAACGACAGCAGCGATGTTGCAAACCAGTGTGCGAAGCTCATCGTAAGTTAGGACGGAGGACCCAACACATCGGTAAAAATGATGCTTCGCTGTCTTCACTGCAGCCTCCCACAAGCCACCAAAGTGAGGTGATCGTGGAGGGATGAAATGCCATTCGATTGAGTCTGCCAAACAGAAATCCTTCACAGCCTTCTGGTGGGTGTCTGACAGAAATAGACGCTTCAACTCCTGAAGCTGATTGCGGGCACCAAGAAAGTTTGTGGCGTTATCCGACCAGATTTGACTTGGCTTTCCTCTGGTGCATATGAAACGTTGAAGTGCATGCAAAAATGCCGCGGTAGTTAAATCCTTGACTAACTCCAACCAAATAGCCTTCGTAGCAAAACAAATAAACACACAAACGTAGCATTTCACAGGCGCCTTGTTTCGTGACTCAGGCTTGTAAAAGAAGGGTCCGCAAAAGTCGACTCCAGTCACTCCAAAGACCCGATAGCCGTCGACTCGATCCTTGGGTAGATCTGCCATTATGTGTTCAACGAGTCGGGGCCTTGCACGAAAGCAAATTACGCATCTCTGAATTACACTGGCTACAGTTTTTCTACCTCCAATTGGCCAATATTGGGAACGAACCAACGCTAGCACTGCTCGGGGACCAGCGTGCAAGTTTCGCTGATGGAAATGCATTATGATGGCTCTAGTTACTGGATGAACTTTGGGCAAAATAATTGGATGGCGACTATCGAAATTTAAAGTTGAGTTTTTGAGACGACCATCGACACGTAGCAGCCCAATCTCATCAAGGAACGGTGACAGCGAGGCTAGACTGCTGGATGACGGAACCATTCCTTTATTTCGAAGAGCATTTATGTCGTCTGAGAGATGTGTTCGTTGAATCATTCTTAACAGTATATGAGTGCCGTTCCGGATGTCTGCTAGGGTTATTCCTGGACCATGACTTTTTTTAATAAACTTTGATACGTATGCAAACGTACGCTGCAAGCGGCCGAAAGAATTCACAAACTTGCAGTCCATAGAGACATCATGGACTGCGTCCTTTACAAGAAGCACAGTTCTTCGACGCTCAATTGAAGTTCTTTCTGGAAGTGCTGAGACTGGCCACTGAGATCTGGGCTTACAGAGGAAACCTGGACCGTTGAACCAATGTAATGATGCATTTAAATCCGAGGGCAATGCACCCCGAGATAATATATCCGCGGGATTCAGTGTTGTAGGTATATAGTGCCATTCCATTGCTGATGTGAGATCTTGTATCGTGGCGATGCGATTTGAAACAAAAACGTTAAATCGTCCGGGCTCGTCATTGATCCAAGAAAGCGCAACAGTAGAGTCAGACCAACAATGAAACTCGCCTGCGAAAATGCCTAAGCGAGCCACTTCATTCATTAGACGCGCAAGCAACTCTGCCCCGCATAGTTCCAGCTTGGGAACCGTGAGCGTTTTTAGAGGCGCAACTCGAGACTTAGAGCAAAGCAACCTGCTGATGGTATGCTGACCTCTGGATACAATATAAATGCAAGCTCCGTATGCCTCGATGCTGGCATCGCAGAATCCATGGACCTCAACCTTCGATCCTGGTATTAATGATAGCCTGGGAAATGCACTACTAAGACCATTGCCAAAGTTGCTGCAAATGTCTAGCCATGCAGTGTGACATGCAGACGGGAGACTCTCATCCCAATCAAGTTTATGCCTCCAGAGTTGTTGCAAGAAGATTTTAGCTTTCGTTATTACTGGGCCGACCAGGCCGAGGGGATCATAAAACCTAGCAATAGACGAGAGAACAGAGCGCCTGGAGGGCTTAGAGGCTGAATTCAGGGCTAGATATGAGAAAAGAAGTTGATCAGATGCCGGATCCCATGCAAGGCCAAGTGTCTTTGTAATGTCGCTGCCATCATTGAACCTAATGAGCGATTCCTTGTCGCAGTCTGTTACGCCGTCCAGCACCATGGGATGGCTTGAACACCACTTCCTCAATTTAAACTTCCCACATGCCAAGATTCCAGCTGTCTCTTGCATAACAAGTCTTGCTTCTTCGACTGAATTTCCTCCACTAATCAAATCATCAACATAGAAATCGCGAAGCAGTACGTCGGACCCGACTGGGAATGCGTTCCTTTCATCTACGGCAAGCTGATGCATGGCGCGCACAGACAAAAATGACGCTGGTTTTGTTCCATATGTTACCGTATCAAGCCTGAAAACTTCCAACTCATCATCTGGCGAATTCCTCCATAAAATGCATTGTAGATAGCTGTCCGGCTCAGGTACTTTCACGCAACGATACATTTTGCAAATATCGCCGGTGAGTGCAACTGGATAAGATCGGAAGCGCAATAATATGTCGACTAATTTTGGCTGAATGACGGGACCTGACATTAGAATGTCATTCAACGAATGCCCAGTTGTTGTAGATGCAGATCCATCAAAGACGACGCGAAGCTTGGTAGTTGTGCTATCATCCTTCAGAACGCAGTGATGAGGAAGAAAATATCTGCATAGATGGAATGAATTTAGAGGAACGCGTGACATGTGACCAAGTTCAAAATACTCTTTCAGAAATGCTGAGTATTGAGACTTTATATGCGGCAAACGACTCAATTTCTTCTCCAAATTGAGAAACCGATGTCGCGCTTGCTCATAAGAATCTCCAAGAAGCTCGCAACTAAGCTTAACAGGCAGGCGTACTGTATATTGGCCACTAGCCAATCGATTGTAATGCCTCGCAAAATGCGCTTCGCAGTCTGAGTCTTCCTTGCTGAACTTTACAATGGAATCGCTGCAGCGCTCAACTTCCCAAAAGCGACGAACGAGACTGTCCAACTTGATATCAGCACAGGAGTCTGTAATCGGATCCAAAGGCGTCTTTGAAGCTATTAGCACGGAGTTGTGGTTGCGAGCCTCGCCACCTGATACAACCCAACCAAGACGAGTCTTCTGTAACAATGGAAGTCCAGGCATCAACTTGATTTGTCCCACACAGAGCAAATCATAAAACAGGCTAGCTCCGATAAGCAGATCTACTCGTTGCGGCCTATGGAAAGCTGGATCTGCCAGCACTATATTTTGCGGTATGCTCCAATTGCTCGTATTCACATTAGAACTGGGCTGCCTGCCAGTTATATTTGTAGCTACCATAGCCGTTATGCTAGTTGTATATTCAGATGCATGAGCTTGAAGAGTGAGGCAAATGCTGCTGCCATCCATGGCAACATTGGAGTCGCCTACGCCGCATACAGATGCCACCGATTTTGTTCTCTTAAGTTGCAGGAGATTCGCAAATCTGGCTGTAATGAGATGTAGTTGAGAGCCTGAATCTAAAAGCGCACGACAAGGAACAAGCTCGCCAAACCGATTCCTTGCCAGAACCACTGCGGTAGCCAGGAGCACAACATCGCTGTGCCGATCCTTGGATAAGAGAGTAGTGGCTGGTGCTGAGGGCTGAGGGATGGTCTGTACTCTTGATGTTGAAGATTGTTGATGGGGCGGAATTGCTGCCTGCGATGTGCTGGAGTGGCCGAGATGAAGAAGCGTATGATGCTTGACTCCACAGACCCGACAACTGCGCGAGCCACATTGTCGCGACTGATGACCTCCCTTGAGACAATTCAAACATAAGCCAGCCTTTCGGACCTCATTCAGGCGAAGACTAGGAGACAAGTTTGCGAATCTTGGGCATTTGTAGATTGTGTGCTCAAGATCATTACAAAAATTGCAACTGTGAGTACTGTGGCCGGTTACGAGAAATGCTGATCTACTGGTAGCAACCTTACTGCAAGAATTCATCGGCTTACTTGACGAATAGTTTGTAAGAGCAAATTTCATCGATTCCAAAGTACGGCAACGAAGCTCAAGAAATGAGGAGACTTCTTCATATCTGGGTATCTGAAGAGCCGTCTCTGAGTTGTCCAATTTCTCTTCCCATTTAGCTTGTGAGGCCTCATCAAGCTTCTGTAGCAGTATCTGAGCAATCATGGCACTGGCTATCTGCTCTG